CTAACAAGAGTGTATTGTTATATTTTAAAAAATATTAATTTTAAATTCAAAACTATAAAAGTAAAAAGTAAATTTTTCTAAAATAATCCCACCTTTCATTTATTTGCAAAAAACAGACATTTTCAAAAATTTCCGTTAAGTGGCCGTTAGTTTTTTAACGGTGACCCAAAACTCACACACATGCGAAAAGGTGGAACTATTTCCGGTGACAGTAAAAAGTAGGATTATTTTTGAAAAAGCGCGAAAAGGTAGGATTATTTGAGATAATTTTTCCATAATAATATTGAAAGTTATGGAACATATTTTCGTTCTTGTTAGGCATTTTGCACACGCGAATAAATAGAAATTTCAAAGAGTCTTGAGTTTTCAATTATTAGGTAGGATTGAGATTTAAGAGTAAAGTTTCGCCATTTTCAGAGGCCAACATGACAAGGATGTTTGGTTTTAGCATTTGTAAAGTAATTGAATTTAAAATTTTAGGTGTAATGCTAATTGAAAGTAATGTTTGCAAATGAAGCATTGGGCACTTTTCTCCTTCACTTCTTTGACCCGTTTTGATCTGATTCAATTAAAGTATTATCTGGTTTGATGGTAGTTATGTTTAAAATGGTTTCTGATTTAATCTGATATTATTAAGGACAAATAATAAGTAAATAGAATAAGTTGAGAAGATCAAGTTCTTATATATCTACAATGTATTACCTATTAATGGAATTTTTTAAGGAATTTACCTTAATGGAAAAAAACTTTGTTAAAATAATTTGGTAACTAACGAGATATTTTGAAAATTTACAGACTATTAACTCTATTAGAATGTATTATCGGAAACCAAACAAAAGAGTACCTAAATGATTGTTGAGCTAAGAGCATCAACAATGGCAAGGCGAAAATAAAATGCCACGCGGTGACATGGAACATTTTAAACAATAAAAAATAGTCTAGTCAGCGTGTGGCAAGTGAATGGAATGGCAAGTCCTACAATGGCAAGTCATTATTTTTTATCATTTTTTTACATTTTTTTATGTTTTTTAAACATAAAAAAAATATTTTTATTATTTATTTTATTAAAAAATTATTCTACTTTCTTGTATTTTTTTTCATAAAATATTTTTTAAAAAAATATTTAAAAAAAAAAAGAAAGATAAAGTGACACACTCATGCCTCACCAAGCAAGGCATTTTGGCCTTGCCATGCCATGATATAAGTGGAAGAAGATAATGTGGCATTGCAAGGCATCCATTTTATTTGCCATTGCACATGCTCTAACAATGTCCATTTTGTTAATGAGCTATGTCTTACACGGCAGCAAAGAAAAGCTTTGTTTTTGTTTGACACCATTGATTTCACTACATAATTTGTGTATGTGTGAATTCATCGTTTCACATTTCCAGTCTTATGCCAAAGTGGGGTAGTCAAGTACTTCCTCCTCCTTCTATTCATTTCATTTCTATTTACAAGATTTGACCGATTTAATTTTTAATTTCATTTATTTAATATTAAAAATAAATAAATAAAATTTAACCATGTGAACTATAAAGCACATTTTAGGACGGGAGAATAGTTTTGACAACAACAAGAAAGAATGATTAAACTATATCCTCTAACATTTAAAAATTAAAATTTATATATTTAAAAGCTTCACTTACATTCTCTTAGTCTATTACTCTCTCCGTCCACAAATAAACTTCTCGTTCACTATTCACGGGGTCGAACTTTATTAACTTTGTTAGCCTAATTTCGTTACCCAATTGATAAAATAATATAGTCATGTCACCTCTAGTTTTGTAGATCTTTTGATATAGTTTTTTAATATGTAGTCTTTATTTTTAAATTTTACACTATTTTTCATATAAAATGATTTAAAAATAACTCAGTCAAACATCATAACGCGCAACGGGAAGTTTATTTGTGAACAGAGAAAGTATGTAAGTGGACAGGGACTAGGGAATCATTAGGGTTAGAGAATAGAGATCAACCTTTTTCTAATCCACGTTTTAAGTAATTTGGACCTAATTTTTTGTTTTTTATCAAGTTTTTTTCCACAATTGTGGTCCATAATTCATTCCAAGTTTAAAAGATACCTTTTTTTAAGATCTTACACCATACAATGTCAACGGATAACCGAAAATTCGATTACCGTCCGCATCCGTATCCGTTTAAAGAGAAAATATCCGCATCCATTTTAAACGGATATTATCCGTATCCGGTTAAGGTTATCCGATTACTAAACGGATACAGATTTGGTAATTGTATATCCGATCCGTTTAAAATCCGATCCGAATATGCATCTGTTTAAATAACCATTTATCCAAATATCCGATCGGTTATATATAGTTTTTCTTAATTTTTTATGTTTATATTTTGTTTCTCTATTGATATTTCAAAGTATAAAACATTTTTAGATACAAAATAAATGTGTAGATACATAAAAATATGTGCAGATATATAAAAATATGTGTATATGTGTGCTGTGTATATCTTTTTATCATATGAAGTTATCGTAAAATATCATAAATTATGAAAACAAAGAAAATAATTATCTCATAACAAATTATAGTTGATTTAATTATATTTTGACTTTAATCTAATTTAAAATTAAAGTATTGTTTAATTTGATTGTAAAAATTGGAAACGGATCGAGATATATCCGATATCCGACGGATACAGATACGGTTTTGATTTTCAGTATCCGTCAAAATTCGTATCCGAATTCGATATCCGACAAAAATAAACGGATACGGATTTGGTAATGACACATCCGATCCGATTAATATTCGTTTACACCCTTAAATGTGTTACATCGTATCCATTTGACAACAATTTAAAAACTTAGTTTTAATGTTTTAAAAGGTTATTTAAGGTTCACGTTTAGATTTAATGTTTTCAAAATTAATTAGCTTGAAATTATCTAAAGAGGATAACTAAAGCATGGTTCCCAACAACACTATATCCTCGTTTTAGTAAAATCAGAGGCACTAAATTATCCAAAGAGGATAACTAATTGCATCTCTTAGAGAGTTAGAGTAGTACCAAGATCAATAAGAGAACTTACACTTGGTGCCTGTTTGGGAACAGCGTTAGCGATTAGCGTTAGCGTTTTCAAAGCGATCTGCACCGTTAAAATTTTATCCAAAACGCTAACGTTAATCTCTAACGCTATTCCCAAACAGGCCCTTGATGTGTTATCTTTCTAGTGCAATAGTTAAGATTTCTATAAACCCAACTTTTACTCGCACGAAAATGTTCTTGAATAAAATCAACATGATTTTTTTTTGGTAAAATTTGCACTAAATAGGACTAAAACATAATGACTTTCCTAATCTAGGACTTAAACTTTTTTATTTCCTAAATAGGACTTATTAATGTCTTGGTGGGAGAAATAATGTCCAGTAATGATGGACATTTACTTGAATAATGACTAATTCATAATGACCAAAAGTTTTACATTGGGAAATAAAAACACATGGTCCTATATTGGAAAAGTCATTATGTTTTAGTCCTATTTAAGTAAATTACTCTTTTTTTTGTTTGAAGTGAACCAAATAAGTTAATCAAATGATACGGCCCCTCAAAAAAAATAAAAATATTAAGGGCCTTTTTGAAAATAATGTTAGAGATAAGCATTAGCATTTTAGATAAAATTTTAACAGTGTATATAGATAATCTTTCAAAATGCCACCCCCAGCCCACCATAGACCCATTTTATCCTTTCTAAATGTGTGGTTATTATGTCTTGGGTGAGAGTGCAGAGGGCGAGAATACAATGGAGGGGTTTAGAGGGTGAGTTAGAAAGAATACGAACTATCAATTTTGAGTAAATAATACTCCCTCGGTCTACAAATAAACTTCTTGTTGCACGTTATGATATTTGACTGAAGTTATTTTAAAATCATTTTATATAAAAAATGGTGTGATTTTTTTTTAAAATTACATACTCCCTCCGTCCCGCAAAAAAGTTTCCCTTTCGTTTTTTTTCGTCCAAAAAAAATCTTCCCATTTGTCATTAAAAGTCCATTATACCCCTCCATCCCAAACCCTAACCAAATCTAACCTAACCCACCCCCCACCCGTTCTAATCTTCTTCTCTCCTCTTCGCCTCTTCCAATTTCCAGACTTCCTCTCATCTTCTACCCTCCTCTTCTCTTAGATCTAATCTCTAAATCTTTTCTCCTCTCTGAATCGATGAAAAGTCGGCGGCGGATGAGGAGATTTGGGGATCTGGATCTCTTCGGCGGCGGCGGCATTTTGTCCGATCTCTTCTAGATCTCTTCCCCTCCACCCACCAAATCCCTCCTCCCTTTTCCGATCTCTTCTGGATCTCTTCCCCTCCACCCACCAAATCCCTCCTCCCTTTTCCGATTTCTTCGGTGGCGGCGGAGTTCGACGCATCCTTCGATGCCCTGACGGGGACGACCTCGCGGCGGAGGGTGGCAAGCCCTTGGGGACGGCAGTTGAGCCTCCGAAATATGCGGGTGTGATTGTCATGGAAGCCATGGATAGATCAGAGTGCTTTTTCGTGGGGAGTGTTTGGGAGTGGAGATATTTGGGGGGTATTTTGGGCAAGTCAAAGCCAAAATATCCCCTCCTTATTTTGAGGGACTATTCCAAATGGGAAGTTTTATATGGGACGGAGGGAGTATTAAAAAATTATATCAAAAGATCTACAAAACTAGAAGCGACATGACTATATTATTTTATCAAATGGGTAACGAAAATAAGCAAACAAAGTGAATAAAATTTGATCCTATAAATAATGAACGGAAAATTTATTTGTGGACAGAGAGAGTAACTAGATACTAGTGTTAAGAGAATATTGCGTAAATCACAATTTTTTTTCCATATATACAAAATAAAACTTTAGTTTGGAGTGGGAAAAAAAACGAATTATCATGTCAACGGGTTGAGTAGTGCCTAGTAATTAATTGTATTGGATATAGAAAGAAGAATGGGGGCGGACTTTAAACTGGGAGTCAACTCCGCTTTAGAGCACAGGTTGAAGTCCGGCACAGCAACTTTCCTCTTCATCAACCATACCACACAACTGAAATACCGATGCGCCCCAGAGAATTAATCAACCGAACCACCGGCGCAGATAATCCGAATCCCTTCAACTGTCTGTTGCTTCTCCGCGTAGACTTTTTTTTTAAAAATTTTTCATATTGATATTTGATTCTCAGTTCATTGGAAATCTCAAGTCAATTCCAGCCCTGTTGATTTTGTTTTGAAAATCATCCGAGAAGAAATAGATTGAGGAAACCATTGTTGGACGGGAAGTTTCTCAGATTCCGGCGATCGCAATGCCCGTTGCCGACAGCCATAAGTCCGACGGGAAGCTATGGAAGATCTTCCATTTCTGGCAGCCCGGAGCTGCATCTTCTGCTCACAGTATCCACTCCGGCAGCCAGAACGGAAGCGTCGCCGGATCCTCCAACTCCCGTCCTGCCGCATCCGTCTCCTCCGTTGCCAGATCCTTGATTCCGCCTCGGCGACGGCTCCGCCTCGATCCAAATAATAATCTCATTTTCCCATGTGTGTGCCTTTTTAGCTGTATTTACTTGGTAATTTCATTTTTTCGTTCTTCTGATTCTTAATTTAACTTTTATTGCTAATTTAATTGTTTGGGCGGTGTAGATGAACCAGGGAAGCAGGTGAGAAGTGCCGTATTGATTAAGAATATTAGTAAATCCCACGTTGCATTTAAGGTAAAGCCTTTTTCCCATCCTTCTAATGATTTCTATTTATGGAAGGATAAATCTATTGGATTTTAGGTTTTAAAAGGCAAAGAATAAGGCATATTTCCCTCCCTTTGCCCCATCTTGGAATCAGCTTGTTTGGATTAGGCTAATGCTGGAATTGGGACCAATGTTTTTATCTTCAAAAAGTTATTATTTTACTTTAATTTTTCCATAATTGTGAGTTAAAAAAAGCCAAAGCATTTAATTGAATATGCTAGAACAATATGAACAGTGTATAACATCGCCATATTATATCATATGGTTACTCCTTTCTCATTGAATGGAATGTACAGACAGTAAACTCCTGCATTTTTTTTGCTTTGCATTTTAAGTTTCAAACAACTGCACCGAAGAGCTGTTACATGAGGCCTCCAGGAGGCGTTCTCGAGCCTGGGGAAAGCATCATTGCTACGGGTAATCATTCACTCTAGTGGCAAAATCTGCTTTGGTTTCTTACTTTCATTTGTAACTGTGCAGTGCAGTTTTGTTGCATGTATTGACTTCTCTTGGTGGTGAGTATTTCTTTTAAAAAATAAGATTATTTCAATATGCTTTGTAGTCTTCAAATTTGTGGAGCAGCCAGAAAACAATGAAAAGCCCATGGATCAAAAGAGCAAGGTCAAGTTCAAGATCATGAGCTTGAAGGTTACTGAAGGAACATAATTTGTGCCCGAGTTGGTAAGAATATAGCTCTGAAATTATTTTTATTATTATTCTGTTTGGGAAAAACAGTGTTTACACATGCATGTTTTCACCTTCTTTGTATTATTAGAAGAAGCATTATCTAGCAGTTCGTTTTTATATTCAGTACTTGAGGACAGCATTGTGTCCACTTCATTGATGTCAAGTCACCTATAGATAATTCAGTGTTTTTTGTAGATACCATCATCTGAACACAATGTGTTCAAATTTGCACATGCCTCTATATGGTGTAGTAAGTTTTGATAATCACCAAATGTAATGACATCGTATCCACCTGTTTTCTAGATATTTAGGCATTTCCGAATTCAAGGCATTAGTTGTCTCAAAACTGCGAGTGGTAGAGTGCTACATATCCCTTTTTGGCACCACTCCATGTGAAAGTAACCACCTTAGAAGGGTTCAACACTGTTTTAACTATTTAAACATCAGAATTCAAAAATATTTTTGTAGATTAATTGGACATTGCTCCTCACAAGGATAGTCTTTTGATTTTTCTTGTATATACTCGATAAGAAATGTAAGTTTCTTACTTTCATCTAAAATTCTTTGGTGTTTGCCAAATATTGGCTGGTGGCACACAATGTTGGGCCTGATGTCTCATTGGCTAATTGGCAGAGAGTGTTATTCTTGTTTTAAAAATTATCTGCTATTTTCAAGACTTTTAATGTAATGCCATCTCTACATTAACCCCTACCCATATACTCCCTCCGTTTCTTAAAACCCTTCTTCTTTTATTTTTTTTGTTTTTCTTAAAACACTTCCCCTTTCTATTAAAAAACCACTTTTACCCTTACTTTTTCATACCCTACCTATCACATCATACTTTTTCACTAACAACTAAACTATCACATCTTACTTTTACCCATCATATCAAGGGCAAAATTGGAAAGTCAACTACAATTTAACACTTCCTTATTTTCCTCCAAAGTCAAAAGAGGAACTCTTTTGAGAAACGGAGGTAGTATTACTAAACCTCTTTTCCTGATGGTAGTTCTACTTGTATATCAAGTTTAATTGTTCTTTGTTTTTTGGGTTTCCATGACAAAATCAGCCTTTTCACTTATACTACTTTCTTTTATTGAAAACCCCCATGGTCAATTTTGTTGGAAGGATTGGAGGAAAAGACTTTGGACGGCTTCCCTTCCTAATGTTTCAAACATGCATCATCTCAAATGCTTTATTTGTTTTCTAGAACACTTTATTTACGAAATACTTCCTCCGTCCCCCTGTATTTGTCCACATTTGACTTTTGGAACTGTTCATCTAAACACTTTGACTCATCAAATTCTCTCAATGTGTAAGCCTAAATATAGTCATGTGTGATCTTGTTTGATTTGTCTTAACATATACTCCCTCCGTCCCGTGAAACATGGGACATTTGCTTTTTAGGAGGGATTTAAGAGTGTATTTTGGTATTGAATTTCCAAAAATGTCCTTTGATGTGATGAGTAAAAGTATGATTTGATGGATAGATTATTAGTAAAAAGGTATGATGTAATAGTTAGGGTATGAAAAAGTAAGGGGTAAAAGTGACTTTTTAATAGAAATGAGAAGTGTTTTGTGGGACGGATAAAAAAAGAAAGGGGAAATGTTTCACGGGACGGAGGGAGTAGAATATTAATATATAATTTTTATAATTTTTTAATATACAAATTACAAGATAAAATGGATTAAAGAAGTGCATTGGATGGTGTGTAAAAATGAAAGTGGACAAATACAGGGAGTAATAGACTAATCCTTCCAAACACCTCCATCCAAACAAACCCAAGATCTCTAATCTTTAGTGACTGTTGATATCAACTTTTGTTGTAGTTTGAAGAGCAAAGGGATCAAGCACTTGTGGAGAGAATTTTGCGAGTGGTGTTCTTGGACCCCGATCAACCTTCTCCGGTAAGAACGCTTCTTTTATTCCTTACTTTTTCTCCATCATCTTTCCCTTAAAAACATCGATGAATAATTCCTTTTATTCGTGAAGGCAATGGACAAACTAAAGCGCCAATTGGCTGAAGCGGATGCTGCTGCAGAAGCTCGCAAGAAACCGCCTGCAGACACAGGCCCAAAAGTAATTGGAGAAGGCCTTGTTATTGATGAGTGGGTAAGCATATACTACTGCACCATCTTTAGAATTCCTAACTCAGTTCCTTCTCAAAAAATATGATACCCATTCTGTATCTGTTAATCTGCAGAAAGTGAGGAGGGAAAAATATCTGGCTAAGCAGCAAGTTGAGGCTGTCGATTCATCCTAGACTTTAAATATTCTTCTTTCAATATGCAAGCGTTTCGTTGTCTCTAAGGAAAACAGGTACAAAATCTAATCCTTTGTGGAGAATGGGCAGTGTGGTGTCCTCTGTAAAGAAGAATAATGTATGCTATTGTTATACGGAGTATTACAGTTTTTTTTTGGATTGATAATTTTGAAATGGTCTTTTTTCTTAGTCTAAGGCCTCGGTTGTTTATCGGGAAAATGTGTTTTTGTGTGGAAAATAAGTTAGTTAATGTATAATATAATGTTTATCCCACTTACAGTAGAAAATATACGGATTAATTTGTTACATGAGACAGTCATTTTCCACATAAGCTCAAAAAAGTTGTGGGAAAACATTTTCAGGGGCCAAATACAAGAAAATGTTTCCAGGAAGTTGTTTTCCCAGTCATATTTTCAAGTAAACAAACAGAGCCTAAGTAAGAAGCACATTACGGACAATAACCACACATATAATTTGATCTGTGCCTTCGTTAACTACAAAGCATTCTCCAGACATCACAACAAGTTCACAATCTCCTGAACAAATTACAAATTATCTGGCAATTGGAGTTTCTGGGAACCCAAAATTTGACGAGACCCGTTTTCGACGAAGATAGCTATGCCACATTTGCTACTATTGAACCCTTCCCAGAGCAAGAAATTGACCGTTCCGCTCAGACTCTTCTTCCCGGAGACATCCTTAACTTCGCAGAGCCTCTCGAGCCTCCTGACGACATAGTCGTTAGCCAGGACTGTGCCTTTGTTCTGTCCTGCTTCACATTGGGTCACCAAACCCGACTCGAACAGAACAACCATGATGTTGGCACCACCATTGTTGTCCTCCATGTTCTTTAGAGTTCCTGTTAGAGACACTTGCAGTGACTCTGGTCTTGGTCTCAAGAAAGTAGCCTGTTCATTTCCACATTGTTAGACTTGCAGGATTGAAACAAGGTAAAAAAAATCACTTTTGATCTTCTGAAGTCTAAACTACTAAAAAGTTCATTCTCACTACTTTCATTCCTTCTATCTTTTGGATTGAAGGATTGGTAATTTTTTTTTGAAGGGTTGGTTCATAAAATACAATTGGTGACTTTCTTTTCATAGGTAATCAATCAAATTGGCCAAACCTCATAAAACTAATTAATATTCTATCTGTCCCAAATTAAGTTTATTCACTTTTTTTTTAATTTTGATTAGTCATTTGATAAAATAATATAGTCATGTTCACACTAGTTTTGTAGTTGTTTTGATCTGGTTTTTAAATATGCAATTTTTATTTTTTAATTCTACATTTTTTTATATATAAATGATTTGAAATTTACTTTAGTCAACTATCATAAATTAAAACAAATGATTTAACTTGGGAGGGATAGAATAATAATACTGACCCGGAAGGATAGAGCAGGGTATCTGGGAACGGAATTAATGGAGGCAAAAACGGCCTCCTGATCATTGGCAATACATTGGGCCTGGCCCTGGACCACGATATGGGGCGTGAAGATGGAGTCCAACTGGAAGGCCTCAACATAGGCCTTTTGCCTGACGGTCCATTGGCTCGACCCGAACGGGTCCTTCCAGCCCATATGATCCCAATAGTCGACATGGAAAGCCAGCAACACCAGCGGCGCCGGCACGTCCCGGCGGAAGTCTCCCCTGCCTAATCGCGAGAATAGGAGCTCCGCCTCGTGCGAGGTGGCGCAGCCCTGCGACGAGAAGAGCTCCACCACCACCGGTCCCTCGATCGCCCCCTCCGCCGCCGCCGCGCCGACCCCCTTGGCCGCCTCCGAGGAGGAGCGCTTCCCGAAGCAGGAGAAGAGACATGGCGCCATTGCTGAGGTTCGGAGGCGCTGGCGATTTCCCGAACCTGATGAAATTCTTGGTTGCAAAGAAAATTACAAGGGGAATATGGAGCGAATTCTTCGGTGGCGGGGAGTAAAAGACGGGCCAAAAATTTGTAGAAAACAGTAAGGGTCCGTTTGGTATAAGAAATTGGTGGAATTGGAATTGAATTAGAATTGTAATTCCATATGATTCAATTCCATAAAATTGAATTCTGTCAATTTAAATTCATTTTTTGCACTATCAATTCCAAATCTACATAATTTTTGTGTTACCAAACACTAGAATTGGAATTGAAGTTCCCAATTCGAATTCCATAATTTAAATTCCATGTACCAAACGGGGTCTAAAAGAAAATTTTTTTTTCCCCTCCAAAAATACAGGGGAGGGAAGAAGCCAAAAAAAGGATAAGAATCCTAATCCTAGTGAGAAATAAAATCTATTCAGTTTCAGAAAAATTAATCAACTCAACCCAAAAAAAACAACCTAATCGAATTCCAAATGAATTCGGTTTTCCTTCTTTTCCCCCATGCAACAAAGTTGTTAATTTGTTATGATGGTCTTTTCAAAATAAGAATATTTCTTTTTTTGTGATCTTTAAGTTTAGTCCATGCTTATTTTAGGGAGAAAAAACTAAAGTAACAGTAAAACATTAAAAATATACAAAAATAGAATTTCTATGTTTTTATTCTCGGAATAGGAGTTAAATGTATTCACATTACTAAACATGATTATGTACATTACAAAAAAGTATAGTAATGTGCATGTGTACAGTGCCACATTACCTTCACACTACCACAATGCGAACTCCTCTCTCGATGATAAAAACATGAAAGTCTTATTTTGATACTTTTTCTATATTTCAGTTTTATATAAGGTGATTTCTATTTATTTTATAGACTCTACTATAAAATAATTAAATGTGCTGAGTTTTGTAAAAGAGACAAGGCCAAAATGAGTGCAAAAAAAAGGAAAAAACTGTTGGAGTTTCATATTCTCCCTCATTCATTTTGTGACTTTTTTTTTGAAAGCAACAATAATTCCATTAACGAATCAAAAGATCTGAAATGACTTCAGAGGGAGTAATCTCACACACAACTAATTTAATCCTGATTGTCGGACCTTTGGTCATTATCAATTAGTCATTATTCGAGTAAATGTCCATCATTACTGGACATTATTCCTCCCACTAGATCATTATTAAATCCTATTTAGGGATTAAAAAAGTTTAAGTCTTACATTAGAAAAGTCATTATTTATTATTTTTAGTCCAAATTTTACTTAAAACAAACTTCATTAGAAAAACATGCAAGCAAGTGAATAAGGATGTAGCTAGGGAACATGCTTGGATGTATGTCCCCTAGTCGCACATGTGCTCTAACGAATAACCCGGGACACCAAAATGCATGTCACAAAGTTGCACCTTAAACTCCCAAACACTACGAACATTTCTAGCTTTCCAGAGGGCCCACTTATAACTCCCACATCTAGGTTGCACGGGTGCGTCTCTTGAGTGCCGCCACTTGATTGGCGCTCTGGAACCGTCCCCGTCGCGGGGACGGGGACGACAGTAGACGAACCGGAACCGTTGAAGATTCACGGGTATATTTATCTTAAATAATTCAAAAAGCACTTTTGTTGCTACCACTAGTACAAAAATGACCAAATAAATCGCCTCATTTGCATCGTTAAGCTAAACAAACGATGTAAATGCAAAAAAATTCGCGTATCGCTTAGCTTTTGGATCGGTTATCCGTAATAACCGATGCAAAAAGTATTTGAATCGGTTATCACGGATAACCGATGTAAAAGCTGACCATCTTTTGGATCGGTTATTCCTTATAACCGATTTAAATACCTTTTGAATCGGTTATTAGTAATAACCGATGCAAAAGAGTGTGATAAAATTAGCCAACCCTACCTTATCCTTACGCGTTTTTGAAAAAAAAAACCTCCAATTCCGTTCTTCGTCTTCGTCGTGCTCTCCGTCGTCTTCAACTCCACACCACGCTGTCGCCTTTCCCATGTCGCCCCCAAATCTGGTCTAATTGCGCCGCCCTCGTCCACCTCACCTCGACGTTCGCCGTTGTTAGTGTCACTGTCTCCAAGGGAACGGCGACAACGTCGACGACCACCTCACCCTGCCTCCGTCGCCAAGCCGTCGCCAAGCCGCCGTCGCCAAGCCGTCGTCCCTTCCTTAAGGTATTTTTTTAGCTTTAAATATTTAATTATACTATTATTTGTTTATATATTTTTGCATTAATTAATATTTAATTTACTATATATGTTTTGTGTACATGTTTAAGTTGAAATTTTTCATTGTGATATACATTGTTTTTGAAAAATAGATTGTTTAATTATTTTGTGTTTGATTCTACATGTTCTGAGACGTTATAATATAGAAATAACATATATTGACCGACCTAGATACCCATTTAAAATTCACTCATTAGGAGTAAATTTTAAATAGCTCCCAGTTTGGAGCTGTTCTTGAAATGCTTCTCTCACTTAGTTAGTACATGTATTTCTTTCTCTTTGTTCCATCATTTTTTGGTTTGACGTTTCCTAAATGTGTTCTTCGAGTGCATATGTAATTACGTTACATCGTGCACTTGGAGAACCAATGGGAAATGCTGCCAAAATTTTGATAGGACAAAGAAAATGAAATACATTTACTAGTGAGGATGGCATTTCAAGAATGGGTTAGGATGGTGTAAAGAAGGACCATTTCTATAATAAAGAAGTGCTATCGGATTTTTGTTGCATCTTAAGAAATGAAATATTGTGTTGCCTATATTTCTTGTATGTTTGTGTGTGTATATAAAATGTGTATTAATAATTTTGTTGTGCACTGTTTTGCATGTATCAGGAGTACCCCAACAAGAAGGGAATGTTGATTGTGGTTATTATACAATGTAATATTGTTGGGTCATCGTCAATATCTGTGCAAAATGTTCAGTACCATTATTCGAGGTAAGTTTGTTTTAGTGTTTAC